AAACTCTTGTCGGAGCACTGGCTCTCAGGAGGAAATACGGAGTGGCAGCACAATGCAGACAGCAGCACCACGGTGTCGTATTGATCCCTGACGCAGCAGGAGCAGCAGGAGATCGTCTTTTCACATATAAGGAATCTGTATGTAAATTTGAGGTACTGCATTGGAAACCTTGTAATGTGCTATGTGATTGTTGGATAAACTCTCCTGAGGGTTTCTTCAGCAATGGCTGTACTGTATAGCTTAAAGCAGTCAGGCCCTGTCCTATTAAAAAGGTTTAGGACAATACCATGGACTTTGCAAAGTGACCTTGTGGTAATGGCCAGGAAGGAAGGCCTCTATAGTGTCCTGGGAGATGTTTGTCTCTCTGAAAGAACATCTTTTTTAAAGAGAGGAAATTAACATTCAGGCAGAAAATGCTGTCTCTGTCAGCTGACGGTGCCCAGCAAGAGCTGGCTTGTAAATTAAAGCTTTTTATTTGTGAAGAGGAAAACTGTTCTTAGTGCTGTAAGGAAAACTGTTTTGTCGCTGTCGTGATGGGGAAGTTTGAATCATTTAAATAACTTGTCATTGTATGCTGCTCTTTACAGATGTTACAAACGTACCCAGCTGGTTTTTAAATCCTCACCTCCTCCAAGAGAACCTGCTAAAGATAATTATAGTGCTGTGTCAATATTGACCAGTTACCTCATCCTCAGCAGTGGGGACTTTGGAGCACTGTTAGTTTTTCTCAATGCTTCTTTGTGAAGCTGCGTTTTTCTTTTGTAAGTGTTGTAAGAAAACTTTGGAAACCAAGGGTTATTGTGTGTTTCTTGCACCAGGGCTGCTACATCCCTGCGTCTTTGGATGAAGGCAGTCTTTGTTAAACATCTTGAGGGTGTCTGTCTTGATTATGTGTACCTACCGTGCCTTACAAAATGGTCCATGAGGTGGACATCCAGGCAGTACTGGTACAGAAATCATAAGGAATGGTGATACGTTGTTGCACATTTCTGTTTCAGCTGTAACAGGCAGTCATACGGATGCTCTGTAGATGCACAGAATCTGTTCAGGCATGTATTTTACCATGTAGTTTGTCACTGGTGTTTTTCTGAAATCTTCTGAACATGACTGCTGAATTACAAATGCCTAGCTTCTTTGAGATGCCCTTTCAAGATTTTAAAAGGCACTGTGGTTCTTACTGAACCTCACTGAAGGGTGGGATGTAAAGACAAGTTCTTCTTTCCGTGTAGTACCTGATGCATGTGTAAATTTTACTCATTTCCTTAGAACAGCTTCTGTCTGCCACTTTTTTATTTAAGAGGTGATGCTGATATTTGACACTTCACAAAATTTTTATAAAGTAGTTGCTGCAAGGTCTTTTAGCCTAGAAAATAGCTTGTGAAATTTAATGAAAGTGTTCAAAAATCAGGATGGTTATTGATGAGACTGAATCCAGAAATATCTGGGAGCGTGAGGATCCGTTTCTTTCTTTGTGTGGTGCGTAGGCTCAAAGTCACACTCAGAATATGATAGTTACTGTAAGCTTAGCTATAGCCAAGATAACTTTTCTCCATAATGAACCTCATATATACAACTGCAGGGTTCCAAGCATAGGACCCTAAACTAAATGGAGCTCTTTTTGCTGGCTATAGGGCTGTACGTTCCGTCAGTAGAGTTCAGCATACTGCTGTTTCCTGATCTTCCTGCTGCTGAAATCATTTGCTGAAGATTCCTCTGGATATTGAGAAGAGTAGAATGGAGCCCCAAACAACCTACCCAAAGGGCTTGAAAAGTATCTACCCTTTCAGATCCAGCTACTGACTCTGACATTTAACAACATAAAAAGGTTGCCATTTCTGTGAATGACAGAAGTAAAAAGAACTGCAAATAAGATTCTGTAAAAGGGAGGTGTTTCTCATTATATATAACCTTCATTGTTCAGCCTCATTTTTTTCAGAGTTTATGGAAATACTCAATTCCACTTTATCAGGTTAAACATTTTTCAGGTAACAGTTTTGAGAGGAAGGATAATTAAAATTCAACAGAGGGGATTACTGCTTCTCTTAATACTTTATGTTAGTTTTCCCTTGATGTGTACATTTGCCTGTGAATGTATTTATTTTTTTTTGCTCTCTTTTTTCAGTTGTTTTGGTTAAGAACTCCTTCATGGAATCCCAATAAGAAAATCAGCATGTGCATTCCAAGCGGTGCTGATTATTCCATCCTCTAACTAAAAATAGACATTGTGCAAGTTGGCACTGAAAAATAATTTAGTGAATAGTAGAGAGTGGGAGAAAGAACAGCCATCTTAACAGCAATCTCAGGCTGTAACTGCTGTATATTCATGCGCATCTGCGTAGATCCAGGGAAGGTGATCCTGTCTGCATAGAGAAACATGGCTTTGGAGTAAGACCGTAGACAACTCTTGTGGGAGCAGGGAGTGAATTGCATATAACCAAGGGTCCCTGAGATTTGTTTAGAAGGATGAATTCTGAGTTTTTAAGTTCTGTGTTTTTAATTTTGTGAAGAAGTCCGGGCACCTTATTGAGTCACCAAAGTTGGATGACTAAAGCTAACACCTGTAAATAATCTGAGTGACATCAGTTGCTGGTAAATAAAAATTTCTTTAATGTTTTACGTTTGTGTTTCTAGAAACAGGACACTGAGCACAGGTGGGGGTTTTGTTTGATTGTTTTTTTCATTCTGAAAGTAAACAAAAAATCAAGTATGCTGTGGTCAGCTTAATGATATCTTTTACTCTCCATCCTCATTCTTGTTTTTTTCTCTCTTCCCCATCCCCCCCTTTTTTTCCCTTTTTTTTTTTTTTTTTCTATTTTCTTTTTCTTTTTTTCTCCTTTACAACTTCTTTGTAGAGTGAGCCAGACCTGGAGAAAGGCCTGGAGATGAGAAAATGGGTCCTGTCAGGAATCCTAGCCAGTGAGGAGACCTACCTGAGCCACCTGGAGGCTCTGCTGCTGGTAAGCGCTGGTGGCAGATACCACTTCAAACACTGGTGTACTTGAATTTTCACTGCTGCTTCCATCCAAAGTTTCCCAGAACTTCTCATACCATGGGTTACAAGTTGCCGGGTGCAAATGGTACCTGTTACTCCTCTTCTCCAGTAGAGAAAGAGAGGCTTAAAGAAAGAACTGGATATGGCACAGTCAGGGAGTTATTAGTGTGGTAGTATCCAGGAACCCTGTCTTTCAGTATCCTGTGCTAATTATTAGACAAGTTGCTGTACAGTTGGACAGAGATTAAGGAAGTAGAGTGCAAAGGGATTTTAATTGCACCATTAATATCCTGGGAAAATCCACCTACTGGGGTGGCTGATACCCATGAGAGAACTTGTTAATGTCTAGCTTTCAGGAGTTGTGTGAATGCAAATATCACTTATTAATAGGATGAAAAACAACTCTCTGGAGGGATGTGTTGTAAAGTGGCAGGGGTGAATGTACTTAGTTTGCATGATAACGATTTCCTTCTTTCCTCATTTCAGCCTATGAAGCCTTTGAAAGCAGCTGCCACCACCTCTCAGCCTGTGCTGACTAGTCAGCAGATTGAGACAATATTCTTCAAAGTGCCTGAGCTCTATGAGATCCACAAAGAATTCTACGATGGGCTCTTTCCCCGAGTGCAGCAGTGGAGTCACCAGCAACGTGTAGGAGACCTTTTCCAAAAGCTGGTGAGTCAGCTACCATCACCGAAGTTTCTGTTATCTCTCATTCCTCTCACAGGTGCTGGTATGATTCCCTTTGGTGACTCTGCATAGACCGAAGGCATGAAAGCCTATAGCTGGGTTAGAGGAGAGGCTTCTAGCTTTGCCACTGCAGTGAAGGGCCTATAGCAAAAGTGGCTGTTTCATTGCCTTTAGTTAAAGACTCCAGCAAGCTATGCTACTGATACGAATACAATTTCACAGAAATGTTGAATCTCCAGGGTGTCTGCAGTATCATCAAACCATTTGCTTTAGAGGAAAATGGGAGAATGGCAGTGTTAAAAAGCACACTTTTAAACACCAACAGCTAAGTGTTTCTCGTTATTGCTGAACTCCCTCACACATACTTACTTCTCTTTGTGGTGCTTTGCTGTATCTTGTGCTGATTTTCTCTTTTATGGTCATCACCTTTGTCTTTGCTTTTCTATCACCATCCTGGCCTTTATATTCCTCTTGCTGCTATGCTGATGCAGTCGACCTGCTGCTGAGAAGCCTCTAAGCAACCTCAACAAAATTCTCTGAGTGCGGAACAGGACAAAGAAATACACAGCATATTCCTCAGGCTGAAGTAAAATTGCGGAGTTTCTGAGCCAGATGACAAATTGTTTGCATTCTAGGAGATTCCTTTGGCCCCTTTAGCCTCTCCCCTAGCATGTGCAGAGAGCAAAGGATTAAAGGAGCTGTTTTTTCCTTTTTAGAAAAGTAAAGAATCTCTGCATTCCTGAGGTGCCTCTGATTCTCAGAGTAGGAGTGACATTCCAGTGAGGGGTTTATTGGATGGGAAGTGTGCTTTACCAGGGTCACTCAATTGTTAGCAGCTGTGTAGCCCAGCACCAGCCCCATCCCCTATGGAGCAGAGGGAGATGGGCCTGGAAGACAATGTTTTCCATGCATGCCAGCAGCTCAAGATCAAAATATGGGAATCTGCTTTTCACTGCCAGCATGTTTTAGCCAGAAGGGATCAAGTTGATGCCTTGGTAAGTAGTTCATGGTATACAATTTGAGCAACTGGTTTAAAAAGACAAAACCACCTGCTGCTAGTTGCTGAAGCAAAGGCACAGAAGGCTGCTGAAAGTGGAAGCCTGACAAACTGCATTGAAAGTGTAGCACAGCAATGAAGACAGCACTAACTGAAGAAGACCTGAATATATTCTTTACCACTGCTGGCTGTTGAGTAAGCTTTGACTCGGCGTACAGCTACTTAGACCTTTGTTTAAGACCATTTCTTGCTGGTGGTGGTCACAGGTGCAGGAGTTAAGCCCTTCTGGCCCTCTATTTTTATGTTCCTCTGATTTTTCTGCATTTGCGACAGAATTGTTGATTTTGTTGGATTAGTATTGGAAGCAAGGGAGCAAATTGCCCTAGTGCAGGAAGCTTTGAGGTAGCTTAGCAGTTTCAGTTTCTGATGGTTTGGTACAGTATCAGTGGGAATTGCATGCTCTTTGCTGGATGTGATAAAGCTAATAATTCTTAGCAGGCAATGGGAAGCAGCTAGATGAGGGAGACGGCAAGAACATCGGGCATTACAGGACATCTATACCGGATGTACATCAAATCTTTTGTAGCAGATTGTTTGCTTGTGGTCATGTCATGTAATGTGATGATAAACACTGGAATCCTTGTTATTATCTTGAGGTCCCTGGGGACCTTAATTTTCTTTAATATCATATAAAACAAAGCACTATAGATTGAAGTTATAGATAGTGCATGCAAGGAGTTTTAGAACTTTATGTGGTCTGGTACAAAGTATGATCCGTTTGCAACATCAGTGACTGTTATTCCACCTTTTTCCTGTTGAAACTAAGGAAAAGAAAAAAAGACACTAGGCATGTGGGAGTGAAATATGCTTCTTGTTTTTTGGGAATATTTTGTACGTATTTTTTATAATTAGAAGGGAAACACTTTAGAACTGTTTTTAGAATTTACAAAATATTTAGCAAATATTATCACTGATATTTTTCAGGAATGGAAAAAAATTTAACCAAAAGCCAATTATTTCTACCAAAGCTTTTTTAATTTTCAGTGTGTTCTTTTTAATTGGAAAAGAGAAAACTTGAACCAGCATGAAAACTTTGGGTGAGCATCATTACTTTGATTGGAAGCTCAGTTTTTAATGAAAAAGATGTTTTCATGATGGCATATTTAGTGGAGGAAAGCAAAAGCTTAGAAAGACTGTTCAGGAATAGCAGGAGGTGAAAGAGCCACACATGAATGGAGAACCTTTAAAGCTCTGCCATGTTAGCTGGCATTATCCAAACCAAAATGTCATAAACCCTGCAAATGATCAGTAATTCTGACAGCAGCTTCTTCACAGAATTGTGCCCCAGCAGCAAATACAGATTTTATTCTCTCCACACTGGCGGGGCTAGGTCATCCCTGGCATAAGTGAGTGCAATTTCCTTCAGCTTCAGTCATAACCATGTTATTTTGTATGAGGGCTGAGACTGGTTCCTAATCTTTCAGTAAAATGTGCACTAGGAAATAGCTCACTCTTTCTTAGCCTCTATTAGCTAAAGAAATTTGTGCAGGGAGTGTTCTCCTGAGTGGCTTTCTCTTCCATCGTCTCTTGTACAAAGCTCCATAGGGGAACACAATGATTATGAGAGAGCAGGAAAGGAAAAGAGCACTGTCTGTGGGAAAGTTAACTGCTCTGCCTGTTGCACATCTTGGGCAGAAATGTCAGGGACATTGCAGAAATAGTAAGGTAAGTGCAAGCTCTTCTGGTAACAAACTTCTCTTTAATGGAGCCTTTTACAGCACTCCACCTGTTGGCTCACTACTGACCATGCACTTGCAAGCATGTTCAAGCTGCTGAGGTATTTACAGCACAGCCTGTGTAGCTCTGCAACACAAAACCAGCTCTGCAATCCAGACAAGCTTGGAAGCTACCCAAGGATTTCCCGAGCTGGATCTTATGTTCTCTGGCATGAATATGGCTGCAATTCCTAAGTCAGTAAATGGGATCAGTGCTAAGACTCAGTGATGATAGTGGCTTATTACTGCACTCTGAGACCTGCTCCATCTTCTTCTGGACCAATTGCATATTCCTTCGGCTGGAAATACTGCCATTTTCTGTCCCCTAGTGCTGCAGTCACCAGCTTCCAAACAGATTGTGCTCTGGATCTCTTGTGTATTTCCAGCACTCTGCTGCCCTTATAGTGATGTTCACTAATGCAGATATGGGTTAATGTCTGGGTTTGATTTAGTGTGTCCATCATGCAAAAGCCAACAAGTAGCTTACTGGGGTCACATTTATGCTGTTGGGCTGAATCATTTCTGTCTGATTCATATTTTGTGGCAAATAGCCAGCAGCTCCAGTTACATCAATGAGCTAAAATATTAATAGATACTAATCTGGCAGTTCAGAAGGGAAAAATAGATGGGAGTAATAAGGATGTCTCATTCTTGCAGGCTGCCACATCCTTCACAAGTGAACTTGTTCAGCGTACATGGAACTGGGTGCATGGGAGTACCTGTGTTGGTTACGTAAAGCTGACAGGTCAGAGATATCTTTCTGGGCCTGCTCAGCATTCCCTGAGATTCTTTGGCCTGAAGGAACATGACCTGATCATTAGACGTTGAAACTGGCCATCCCAAACTGTCGTCTTCCCCAGCATTTATTTTATTTTGTTTTGGTTCCTGCAGGCCAGCCAGCTGGGAGTGTACCGGGCCTTTGTGGATAACTATGAAGTTGCTATGGAGACAGCAGAGAAATGCTGCCAAGCCAATGCTCAGTTTGCTGAAATCTCTGAGGTAATGTCATGGTATTCAGACACACACGAGCCGTCTGGATCTGAGTAATACCCTGCAATGTCACTCCTGCCTATCTTCCGAGTATCTTTGCAGCCCTGACTTCTGGAGGAGTTGTGAGCTCCCGTAGACTCACTGCTTCAGCTCGTGTTCCTACAGCAACTTATACTTTGGGCTAATAGAGGTTATCACGTAGACAGCCTTCGTGTGCTGTCCCCACCCAGGGAATCTTGTAAAAACTGGCATTGCTGTGGACTTCTCAGCTCTGTGCCACCTTCATGCTTTTCTAGAAGGGAAAGCTGTACTTGAGTTTCTCAAGTATTTCTCTTGCTAATGATGATGCTGACTGCAGTGTAAAAAGCCATCCTTAATGACTTGCATTATGGCTGTCAGTGAAATTGCAGGCTTCACTGGTGTGGAGAGGAGGAGAGGGTAGCTCTCTGTCTAAAAAGGCAAGTGGGTCAACCATAATCTTATGATATTATTAATTGGGCTGCTGTGATTTCCTCTCTTTAAGAGGAGTACCTTGTGTCAAAGTATTTTGAATACTTTTTCAGGCTTTCCAGACCACCAGTTTTGCCTGCAGTGTATGGTCTCATTGACTCTTTCTATTGTGGTGATTATATCTTGAAGAACTCAGTTGCCAAGAGAATATTAACTTCATATGTATGTCCTTAAAAACAAGCAGATAAATAATCAGAGTTGAATAATACTAGGGGCGTTTATTGCTCTGAATAAACTCCTGGGTACATTCAATATTGCATGTCCCTTGAGATTTTTATGATAAAGAGGTAAAATAAAACATGTTCCCTCTGTGAAATGAGGGAAGCAAGGCTTGCCTTTTGGGACCTGCTGTACTACTCATCAGAGTGCAAATGTCATCTGTTCACTACTTTCCTGAGGATTTCCATCAGGTTCTGGTCCTTTGCCTGAGCGCTTCTGTGCTCTAGTGGTGTCAACTCATTAGTAAAGCAGCTTCCCCTGTGCTTCCTTTTCTTTCAGTACTAAAATGCATTTCATGGACATTCCCGTTTATTAATAGTAATATGTATAGATAGTATTATGGTAGTCCCTAGAAGACAGAACAGAGAGAAAAGCCTCAGGGTCCTGGGCTCTGTGCAAATGTGATCCCTTGGTTTTCCTGTTTTCTTAAGGATAATTCTGAAATCGTACTGTTATCTACTGTATTTGGAATGATGGTGATGATGCTTTTGCATTTGTGTCTTGGTGATGATGTCAGACCTCAGCACACTAATGCATGTAGTTTCACAGCCCATATGCAAAGAGGAGAGAGGCACAGGCATTATTCCTTTTCTGCCATGAAAGAGAGCTGACTTGTCCGAGGTCACTCAGCTCTGAGTACAGGTATAAGGTAATACAACCTGGAGGTACTGAATCCCAATCCTGTACTTCATTGGTGGTGTACACATGCTGTGACAATGGCTACATCCTTATGGACATGTCTTTCCCCTGCAGGTGATTTAAAAACTCCACCATCCCTGTCACTATAGGTGATTCCCTGCTTTGCTGCATCTCTATTGTCATGCACTCCTAAGAAACTTGCTCAATATTTTAGATGTGTGGGTGCCTGTGATATGGCAATGGTGGATTTACTAAGAAGGAAAGCATGTTTTTTCCTTCGCTGACTTGAACTGTGATAGGATTGTCCTCCATTCACACTTAGGCCCTCCCTTGGAGGAGCAGATAGTCTCGTACATTCCCATGTGATATTTCAAGGTGATTGACCATCTGCTACATGGGTTTTCTTTTTCTTTTAGAATCTAAAGGCTAGAAGCACAAAGGAATCTAAAGATCAGACGACGAAAAATTCCTTGGAAAGTGAGTGATCCATGCAGAGGAGACTGGTTTGTCAGGACTGTGGAGGCTGTTGCCAAACCTCCGCTCTCCATTTTTCTTTTTAAGTGCTGGAAGGTTGTGGAGTCTCTGCTAGCTCTACTTGGGAAATCAGTTCCCTTTTGCTAAGTAGCAGAGCTCATGCATAGTAAGCTGCATGCATCCATGGGAAAGCCCCTGCCCAGCTTAAAACTCGTCTGCCCCTTTGGGCAAAACCAGGCCAACCAAAGGACTGCTGTGATTTTAAGAGAACACCTGCTACCCAGTGATAACACAAACGCAATCCTAGCAATTATTGTTGCATGGTTTTTGCCCTGCGGTAGCATCTAAAGAGCCTGGTCAACATCAGGTTCCATGGTGCTTGTCTTTATGCACATAAGTAGAAGACAACCCATGTTACAGGAAGCTTCCATACTCATTAATATAAAGCCGATCCCCTTCCTGTTTTGACCTATTACCAGGATTTGGAAGCACTCAACATGTCATGCTGAACTCCAGAAGGAGGGGTGTGCTGCCAACCTTTCAGGGGCCTCCTTGGCAACTTTAAGAGTGCAAAGCCTGATTCTGACCTGTGGGACCGGGCAGGTTGCCAGGGAATTGTCAAAAGTGTGCCATGCTGTGTGCAGTTCTGTGCTACCTTGTGTGCTGCTCATCCGCTATCTGGCAGGGTGTGCTCACAAGTGGGCATCTGTTTGCTGTGGAGCATATTTCCTTTGTGTGTTCGTGTGTGTTTTATTGGCTGTGCAGCACATTAACCTTAGAGAATGGAATTTTCCAGTAGCTCACTGGTTAATAAACCTATGCCTGTACATTCAGTTGCATTGGACAAGTTGCTCTGTAGGGGCTGTATTTAGGTACCTCTTCCTTATGTTCCTGCTGCTATTTTTTTTCCACAGCTCTATTATACAAGCCAGTGGATCGCGTGACTCGCAGCACGCTTGTCCTGCATGTAAGTATCTGAAGGGTAGTTTTCAAACTTTAGGCCCCTTTCCTATTTTCTTTGCCCTTCAGATTTTCCTTGGAGCTGCAGAACTGCAAAACTAAACCTGTCATGCTGCATACGAGCATCTTCCCGTTACAGTAAGGCGAGGGAGTCCATAGGTAGGACCCTGTTACCTCTTTCGTGGTGTTACCAAGAAGTGCGGAGTATTATCCTCTTTCTCTAGAGATAAAGCCTTGCTTTAATCCGTAAGAAGCTGGAGCATCTTGTCCTACAGCTGTAGTTAGGGGCCCTCAGACCCTTCTCCTTTTCACTGCTGCTTATGGTTCTGTTCTTTCTTTGTGTTCCTGGTGTCAGGATTTGCTCAAGCACACTCCAGTGAGCCACCCTGATCATCCACTCCTGCAGGATGCTCTGCGGATCTCGCAGAACTTCCTCTCCAGCATCAATGAGGAGATCACTCCTCGTCGGCAGTCCATGACTGTAAAGAAGGGGGAGGTGAGTCTTCCTGCTTTCATTATTTTCTCAGTTTCTAAATACTGGTTGTGCCTTTTCTGTAGAGCGGACTAGGAAGTTATGCTGTTAATTCATTTATTACAAAGATACAGTTTATGCAGTATCCTTGTTCTCTAAAGGATGTGGTACAGCTCCTCTCTGCTTTCTGTTCAGAAAACAGTTTGGAAACCCAGAGGAAAAGTATGATTAGAGTTTTGTCCTTAGCAGTGTTATAATCATTTGTCATGCATAATTGCTATGATGCATATTACTATGCACTAAATGGATTTGTATTTTAGCTGCAAACTGAAACCAAACAGGAAGCCTGGGAGAAGAAAAAGGTGAGGAAACATCACTAATCATAAAAGATTAGGAAAAGCTGTTTTCCAGAATCTTCATTCTTGCCATGAAACTCATTTTTTGCATCCTCGTTTCTGAAGAATGTTGTAAATGGGACTAGGAAGCAAAACAAATGGAATGGCCTGGGAAAGCTAGGGGAGGTGATTGACTCCTAAGGGTGTAATATAACCCTTCTCAGCTCTGCTAGGAGCTGGACTACACCCAGGAAGTTCTAAGATGTGCAGTTCCTTTACCTGCATGCAATATTGTGCAAGGAGGGCATAGAGCTACACAACGGTAAAGTCCTGCATGCCTCAGTGGGCTTGGTTCAGCTGCCTTGTAGTTTCATTAGAAAGCAATTCAGTCCTTCCTGATGAGGAAAGGCCAGGACTGACGGAAGCATTAAGAGAGAAAAGGATGTAGGAGACTGGACAAAAGAGCGGTGCAGCTCAGATAGTGTATGTGTAATAGGAATTGTGGCAGCATGCCAGAGACACTGGCTGATCAAAAGTGACCCAAATTACCCTGTACAAAAGCATCTCTTACAAAGCCCAGGAGATTGTTAAGATACCATGAACCTTCATGATGTATTCCCAAATCCTGTCAGCTAAACATGCTTCCTTTTAGCTGTTAAACTGATTTTCAGCTGACAAAGATTTGCTAGAAGCTGCAGTACTGGGAATTTGGTGCACTTTGTCCTGCAAGTCTTGCTCATTGTCTCATTTTGTCAACTGAGGAAGTCTGCAGCTGAGAAAAGAAGAGGAGGGGCTGAGCAATTGGAGGCTGAGGTAGAAGCTCAGACATCAGTCACCGGGGCCTCAGCGATAGTAGATGGCCTCATTAAAGTGGATGCTGATTGAGTCGTAGCAGAAATCACAGGCTAGAATGCCCCTTCGCAGGGCAGGGAGCATTTTGTGTTCTCTGGTTGTCTGTCAGCATCTCAATGAGGGATGCAGGCTTTGAAAAGTGTCATGCAGAATCCTAATGAGGTGCCAGAGCCCAGGCAGAGGGGCAGGCTCAGGAGGATGATCCAGATGATCTCTTTTTGGAGTGGTGTATTTGTCAGATCTTAGAAAGCAAGAAGGGGAGGCTTGTCAGGATTGGGCTCAGCAGGCTTGTTCATGCTCACACTGGTCCTGCAGTGGTTCCATGTATGATCTGGGGAGAGGAAGAAGGGGGCATACCCCAGGAGAGGGCTGTGGGTGTGCTGGAGGGGACTGGGAACAATTTGTGCTCTCACTCACTGCACGCAACTTGCACTGAGCCGAGGGAAGAAAAGGACTTGCTTCTGATTGTTCCCAGAGTTTGCCTTCTGCTCTGGGAATCTGGTGGTGGGTACTTTCTTTTGTCATTAGGCACCAATATCCCACTTTTTTCAAAGGGTAATGCTGCAGTTGACACCACTTTGTGTCTGGAGAGTAGGTATGTTCACTCTCTGCGTAGTAATCCAGAGACACAAGTCTGCTCCCAGCTACTCCGTGTGGGTTAGTGATGGCTGCTCCTTCCTACAAGCTACTCAGCTTGGGGTCATATCTGGGTTTTGTTTATGTCTGTAAATCTTTCCTTTTCTACTTGTCCTTTCCTCCCACTCGCCTCGCTTGTGCTTCCCCTGGGGTGACAGGACAGTGTGCAGTTTGCATCTCCTAATTGACTGCTCTCAATGCATAATGTATTTTTTATTTTAATGAATCACCAGCTTGCTTTGATGGCTTTTTTCATTATTTGTCTTCCTCCCATTGAAATTTCCTTGGTGGAAAGGAAGGAGGGAAAACAGCCGTTTCCCCTCATGTATTGCTTAGGTGCTGATCTCAGTTATCTTTTTTCCCAGTCCTTGCCTTTTATGTGGAATATTTTTTTCCCCTTTGAGTGCGTTTTGGGGAGGAGTCAAATCTCCTTTGCCAGCCTCTTGCTCCAGCTCTTTTTTTTCAGGATTGCTTTGAACTGAAGAAAGCAGCTAGTTGTTAATCTCCCTAGTGACAGGCTGCTAAGGAGAGGAGTGCAGGTCAGGAGAGAGTACAGGCTCATCAGCACTGTGTTCTTGCCTTTTGCAAAAGGTGATTCCCTGCTTCAGGAGCATCGACTCAGTCTGACCTGCCTGCTGTCTTCCTGCATGATGTTAGGTGTCCTTCCTGCACACCAGCCCCATGGTTCTGCTTACCTCAGTAGGCTTTCTTCTAATTCTACACTTATGCATATAAACTGAAAGTTTTCTATGATGCGTGGACCTGGTTTAGTTTGCTGGGCTGAATGAGTATTTCAGGTACTGCAAGGAGATGGGAACAAAGATGGTAAAACCATTCACCAGAGGGACAGAAAGGGCTACAACAGGGAAGGCAGTATTGGTGGGTTAAGCCTATGAACATACAGTTTGGTCCTTGCTGCCTGCCAGGCTGACTGTAGCTAGTCTTCTCTACTTTGTGGTTTCCTGACGGCTGCAGTACAGAGGAGCCAGGAGAGCATCAACCCCAACCTGGCAACACAGAGGAGTCAGGAGGGCTTATCTGGACTTTCCGATCTGTTTCCATTCAGCCTGATCTGCTACATTCTCTTGCTCCCTCCTTTTCTTCCCATCTTTCTACTTCCGTGGTTTTACTTTTTTACTTTTTTTGATAGATTATCTGCAGGTATCCACTTTGCTAACTCTTTAAATAACCAAACCAATGCATGGAGGGAAAGGGGGTCTGAGTAGCACTATACCTTCTGACTCAGAATGCATGTGGTGGAGAATATTCCACCCCTTAGGACCACAGAGCAGGCATCTTATTTGCTCACTGCTGATCCTTCTTCACCACTATCCTCTTGGCTTAAATAGGGAACATATAAGGCTCTACTCAGGATGGTCATTTGGGGAAGCAGGAAAACGAACACTTTGAGGTGAAGGATGTGCCACTATTATGTGCCAGAAGGAAGGGAGTAATAACCTTTCTAGTTTTATTAACAGAGCAGCTATATGGACCACATGTTTTTTTTCGACTAAGGCTGGATGCAAATGACTGTAGAGCTTGTGTCGTCTTTCTCTGCCAGAAGTAAAGGCTTGTACTTCCAGCTAATTCAGCCCATTCTCATAAAGCAGGAATTGATGGAACTGCAAAAAATTGCAGAGGTCATTTGGGAGATGATGGTTCCTTTCTTGACTGCTGTTCATCTAATGCTTTTTGCAGGATGTTGTTTCAGGGCAGTTCAGACCAACCTGAGTAGTGGTGGCTGCCATTCTGCCTTGGCCCTGGCTGTGTAGTCCCACCCTCTCTGAAGTGTTCTTGCTGGTATTTGTGTGATCCCACAGTGGCATGGAGGAATGCAGCTGCCTAAAAATGAAGCCTTTTTTAGTTTTGGGTTATTCTGCTGGCTGAGTAGCTTCGTGTCTGGTCTCATCAGCACTAGTCCAGGCAGAAGAGGGCTGAGTGGCAGTTCCTTCTGGGATCAAGCCCGCTGGATCACATGTTGGATCACCTTATGCTACTGTGCACCTTTTCCCTTGCCCCAGAGAAGAGGCTGCTTGGCAAGCTGCTTTACCATGTTTCTATATGAGGTTTTAAACTGCAGTCAAGGGGCTGGGTATCATTGCCTTAAGCTCCTGTTTAACTAGGTAGAGACCAAGTTGTGCTAGGGAAGGAAAAGGACAAAGGATATTTGCAAGGGAGCAGAAGTGCAAACTAAAGCCTTTGAAAAGCTGGGAGTTAAGCTTAGACACAAGCAGCCAAGCACAGCTTGAGGCCTGGTGCCTACTGCTTCTGGAGGCCTTGGGCAGATGTTGGCAATAGAGCACTCAAAAATGATTTTGGATGCTTCACACTCTGTCTTACATCTGGAGTCAGAGAGCTCCTGGTGACAGGAGCTTTGGAAAGAAAAAAGACAGGCTATTAAAACGCTCAAAGAGCAGCCAGTTTAGCTCCCTAGGCAGACCGTCTCTTTATTCTGCAATGCTAGTCTTGCAACACATGCACACGCACACAAGGAATGATTTTCTTCCTACGCTCTGCAGAAAGCCAAACCACCTCTTCCTCACTGACATATGCCAATACCCATCTCCCGCTTTTACCCTCCTCCTCCTGCATCACACATGTTCTAGTCCTTCCCAGGGCTCTCACCCACGCACACTGCAGGCCTCTGCTGTCACCACATCGGATGAGCTCTTTCCTCAGCACACAAGTGAGGAGATGGCCTTTTCGTACAGCTGTGGTTCTGGATGAGTACATTTTTTTAAATTCTACCTTTTGTAATGTGTCTCAGACAAGCTGGTCACACTTCCTGGAGTTAAACAGTACATGACAGCAGCAGGATTTATCATATGCAAACGGCACAAAAACACTGTGGGATGAATAGATGAGCGTACAGGTAGTCGTGAGGTTGGTAGCAGAGGAGAGGGAGATGCTCACTGACAGGTAAGAGGAGGAGGACAGCAGTAGGCAATCCAAAGAGAATATCCAAGAACTGAAAGATGTAAAGGGAGAGCTCTTTTGTTTAAAGCACTGAGGTGGCTGGGAGAAGTAGGTGAAAATATGCAAAGGAAAGCAGGGCCTAGAAAGGAGACTTGGGACTTATATGCACCGGTACAGGAGCTTTGCAAGAGCCACTGAAGATAACAAGTCAGCCCAGGCCCTGTTTGAGAGATTAAAGATGATCCTAGTTCACTCCATTATGATACGAAATAGGAAGTTTTCCCCCATGCCTCCTGGAACATCTTTCTGTAGCTGAGCTCAGCTCCTGTGCTGGACACCTGACAGTCTTGGGGCTGTCTGTGGAAGAGAGGGGATCACTCTGCCACTGTACTTCCACTCTGATGCTAAGCTTATGTTTTCCTGGATGTTTATTTGATGTTTCTGTAGTCTATATGTCATTTCAGGGTATTCTAGGAAACCTTTAGCACCTTTGCTAACCTTAGGAAACAGAGTAACTTTGGAAACAACGTAGAGAGATGGTTTCCCCCACATAGGCTATTGTATGTCACATACAGCAGGGTCACCCAGCCAAAAGACCTCATGTTTCAGGAGACCCTGTTTAACAGGAGGCCACCGAAGGAAGAGCTGTTGCTGGCCTTGGGTAGGAGGAGTTGACCGAAGTGGGCTTTGGTTCCTAAACAGCTTGAGGAGGCCTGTGGAGCTGAGGTGGCCTGGGCATCTGACTGCTACGAGCACGAGTCCTGTCTGAGGGGGCTGCTGGCTCCTCTGGGGTGGGGTAGAATGGGCTGACTCATGTTGGGAGGTCCGGGAAGGTACCCTGCACTCCCTCACTGTGGGGTTTGGCAGGGATCTGGTAAGCCAGTTGGGAAATCCTTTTATTGTTTCACTCTGACCTCCTCCCCTCTGACCTGCTGAACCCTCCCAGCAAGATGAATCATTTGCAATGAAGGATGTGACCCTTTGCTGGAAGAGCTCCTCCTCTGCTCTACTGATGCTGATCAGCCTGGGTCATGCCTGTTGTGCCCAGCCCTAATGAAAGTCCGGTTTTCCGAGAGAAACTGGTAGTTAGATCTAATATCAAGCTCCACATCCCTGTGAGGAGAAATTTCCTGCCTTGATCCACAAATGTTTTTCCCTGTCCTCTCCTCACCAGATACTTGGTTGCTTTTGTGGCAGTCTACCCCTGCTGCTTGCTGAACAGAGACCTTCCCAACTAGCTCATGAGCGAGAAATTATGAAGAATGAAAGGTCTGGGAAGCTCAGTGTTTTCCTTTGAGTGGCTTACTGGAGTACATCCCTTTCACCTCTTTACTTCTGTTCCAGTCAAGCTCAGTAAATACAGCCTTGTCTTGCCTCCCACCCAGCTCTCTTTCTGGGAGATCACGCTGCCAAAGACTTTTTGCTGCCTCATGGTAGCACCGTGTCTCAGGTCAGTCATGGTGTTTTGTACCCAGGAGTGCTAACCAAAATAAGCTTGGTGCAAATGAGTGGTGCCTCAGTCCCAGATGGGAAGGATGAGGGCTGTTGAATCACACCCCTGTTTTGGCATCGTGTGGCTGAGCTTTCTGCTTGGGTTTGGGGGAGATATGGGACAGAGAGCATGGGTGCTTGGAGGAAGTCTGCTTGGATGGTGACAGCTGAGGACTGTGCAGCGGCGGGTTAGGTGCAACTTCAGAAGGCAGGAGAAGAGGTGGCCTGGCTGAATCAGGCAGGCCGTGTGGGGAGGTCTGTAGCCTTACTGCAGGGAACACTGATGGGCTTTTCTTTTCTTACTTTGTGTGGGCCTGACACACAGGTTTCCAGCCACTGGTGCCTCTGTATGGGCTTTCCCCTCACTTGAGGACATAGAATCGTTATGATTGGAAGACATGCTTGTCTTCAAAATACTGTGGTCTAGATGATGGTGCTGTAATATTGCCAAATGCAGGGGACTGATCTAGGGCTAAGCAGTAGACCTTCACAGTCCTCCAACAGCCCTCATGGGCCTGTGCCCTCTACTGCCTGTGAAGAAACACATTGATGGCCATGTTGTTGGCCTGTCTGCCACCAGAGACGTCTTCCTGTGATGGGGTGCTGAGTCCATGCTCTAGACCAGCCTGGGGTATTTTTCAGCTAGGAGTTCTCGGCAGGGTGCTGGCTGGGGTCTTGGCTGATCTCGCACACTGCCAGTGCCTGGGAGAGGAGGACAGAAATGCAGGTCAGGACCGTGCCATGTCCCTGCCAGGGACATTGCCAGGGACAGTGCCACATCATGCTGGGTAACAGAGACAAGTGAGCTGTGAGGAAATCTTTACACCTACAAACAATGAGCAGAGGTTGAGCTGGCAACAAGCAGCTATTCTCATTGCCCTGGAGGAGCTGAGCTGATTTGCAGTGTAATTAATATGCATCAGATCTAGGAAACTGAAATCAGGGGTTTAGCTTGCTCAGGAAATATCTTTCCTTGTTTCATTGTAGTTCCCAAGTGAAATTCTTTGCAGCTGTGGAGAGTGTTTTTGCTACTGACAGCAAACCTCCTCCTTTTTATTTATTTATTTTTAAAGCTCAGTGTTTCTGGTTTCCTACCTGGGGTTTGCTCGCTAGGCGGAAGGAGGAGACATGCACAAGTGCGCATCAGCAGCAGAGACATTAATGCAGGCAGGCATTCTCTCCAAAACCAGTGAGGAGAAGCCAGGAGAATCACGCCCACTTAAAAATAAACATTAACATATGTACAGGCCTTTCTGAGCCTGAATCGCTGCTGGATACCAGATCTCCACAGACTCCTGCCCAGATATGGTGCAACAGTCTGCTAGGGAGCAGCCTTGCTTCCTGGCGCTATGGGAAAGGTGCAGCTTTTGCTGCTGCTCACAGATTTCCAGGACCTTTGTGTAATGGAAGGCAGCACCAAGATGAGATGCTGACACTGCTATGTGTACTTTAACAGGTAGCTGTGGTGCTGGTGCAGCTGCAGACAGGAAAATGCAGACTCTTAGTCCGTGTCAGGAAGTTTAGGGTGCTGTAGGACAGAGAGCGGAAATAAGAATTGTGTCTGCAAGGGCATTTCTCTGCCTTGTCTTCCTTGCCATGATGCCTGCTGGGCTCAGAACTGATATGGTTTGTTTTGATTTTGGAGAGCCAAGATGGGAAGAATGGTAGGCGGAAAGAGAGGCAGCGTGGGGGTTTGCACTCCCACACCCTCTGCAGTAAATGTGTTCGGTGCTTGTTAAGTCACGCAGCAAACAAAACCCATGGGGCATAACCTGAGGAACTGAGGCATCAGTTCTGGTTTGGGTGTTCCTGACCATGCTCAGGTTAACAGCTTTCCTGTTGCGTACTGCTGCGTAGCTGAGCACAGCTGCCTCTTGGGAATGGACAGTTTTCATGTATGTGTTTCCCAGTGTGGGGATCGCAGAGATTCTGCAGGTCGGGAGTGAGTCCTACTGATGAGTCCCGGGCATGGGCCTGGAGAAGGCTGAGAGTGAGATGGTAGTGGGTAGTGTTGGTTAGTGCTGGACAGTATTAGCAGCTCTCTCCTGTCCCCAGCCATGGTGCTGTCTAGACCTATATGGTTGTGTGTAGTGTGTCACTCATTGGTGTCAGGGGAGCGTTCTCTTGGCTGGAATGGCAAGGAAGTAGTACGAGTCAGGAAAAAGTACCTTAGCATACCTTAGTGTGTGTGGAGAAGCTTGTGCTGTCTGTGAAGCAAGGCAACACTGACAGTTACACATATTGGTGAGAACAGAATTTGCCCAAAGTTGAATACTCCTGATTTATGCTTGAAAATCAGTGGGAGATACCTATTCCAGATGTGTACTCAGAGCCCTGTTGATCCTGACATCAGAGCAGAAGGCCTGAGCGTAGAGCAGGGCTTGAAACTCCTGGTGTGGTCACTGGTAACAGCACACAGCCATCTGTCTCTGTGCCGGTGCTCCAGGCTGTTTGTCTTTAAACTATGGAGTCCCCATAAGGAATTAGGAAAGCAATGCTTCTGCCTACCAACGTGTGTCTCTTATTTAGGAGGTTGTAGAGCTCCCTGAAACTAGAAACAGGAATAAAGGCATCAGGGTTGTGCAGCTTCTTTGCATCTTCTAGGTTTGGGGAACGTTTATATGATGTATAAAAGAGATTTAAATAGGCATGAGGTGGGGGCATATCCAGATGGTCCTATTTAAACACAGGTTGATAAGGGACTACTGAGAAGTTTACTAGATAAACATTTTGTTCAGGAATTCTCCCTTAACAACACTCGTAATAAAGAAGGAGCAATGGCATTCAGCTGTTACTGTTGACAAACTACCGTTGTGAATGGGGAGCGGAGATGTTCATGGAGGTGTTCGCTCCTCTTTCTCCCTGGTGAGGTGGCTGAAGCTGAATGCAGTGGCTGGGTAAGTGACTCCTGAGGAAAGTGGTGTTTGCTGCTCTCTGCTGGTTTGTGAGGCGATGATGTGCCGTCAGTGATTCTGGCCCTTGGGTACACAGAAGCAGGGCAATGACTCACAATAAATTACACTTGGACTCAGGAGCAGGTGACGGAGAGAAGTCTGAAGTCTGACCCAGAACCAGATAATAAAGGAGATGCATGGCCATTTCTGCTCCTCGGAGAGAGGGCAGCAGCAGGGAGCAGAGCTTACAGCAAGGAACACTTCATAGCCTTTTTTCTTTTTTCTGAATTAGACCAATTTACTGAATTTGCTCCGGTAGGAGTCATGTCTAAGGAATGTGTTGCCCCAGTGCCAAATCTGGGGCTTATATTGCACTAACTAAACTATTTTTTCTGTTTTTTTCACCAGCACCGGCAGCTGCTGAAGGACAGTTTCATGGTGGAGCTGGTTGAGGGGGCTCGCAAGCTACGTCATGTCTTTCTTTTTACTGATCTGTTCCTGTGTGCCAAGCTCAAGAAGCAGATTGGAGGGTGAGGTTTTCCTTCTGAACTACTCTGTTCCTGTGTGCCAAGCTCAAGAAGCAAATTGGAGGGTGAGGTTTTCGTTCTGAACTATGTGCTTTGCACCTCAGCTTCAGCAGAATCCTGGGTTTAGCCAGCAATTTTAGCTGAATATGAATACCCCAAACCCTGGGTAACCATAGTCCAGAAGATGTAGTTAGACAAGGAATGATGAGCAAGGTAGTACTGTCTATTATGTGAGACCTTGGCCAAATCCTGATCCCTCAGGAAAGGTTAATTCCTCCTGTCCCGAGCCTTCCTAGGAAAATAGGATGTGCTGTAGCTGCTGGTATTCTGGACAAATGCCATTCATTTTTCTACTTCCCCTTTCTTTTAATAGGTGACATTCATCACTTTCTTTTGTTACTAAGGTTGTTAATTTTGGCCTTGCAGCTACAGCCAGTTATAAGTTTTGCAGGAAAATGGAAAAGGTACAATAAACAGACTACGTGTCAACCCCAAAGTGCAGCTATACAAACAGTTTTGTTGACATGTTTCACAACTGAGGGGGGAGGAACCTTTACCAACATACCTGCCTCAAACAGGGCATCTCTTCATTTGGTAAATGTTCTGCTTGGAGGGACCCCTCATCTTCTTGCCTTCCTCAAGCAAAAAGTTGTCCCTGCCTCTTTTGAAGCACATGCTTCTGAGGAGTGAACCTTCAAAAGAGTGGGACATTCCCAAGAGTGGATGTTCCTGGCAGTAGAGGTGGAGAGGAAATAAATCACATGAAATGTTAAAAGCATGAACTACTTATTCTGGTGAAATCACTGGAGAATGGCAGTTATGAGCTGTAGTTTCTCTCTTCTGGTTGGATTACACAGAGGTTTATACATATTGGCTCACTTGTCCCACTTGACCTTCCTAGCTCAGGCAGGAGAGATCTGGGTTTAGATCATAGGTAGCAGCCAGGTCAGAGGCATGGCATGGCTTTTAAACTTTGCCTCTATGGAGGCTTCAAAGGAACAGCACGCGGGACTGAAAGGGTTTGCAAAAAAATTGTTGCAGTTTCTTAGGATGAAAAGAACTAGATAACAAAACAAGTTACCTTGTTATGTCCTGTACTGACTATTGGCACTTCTAGGCTTTCTTGCTGGAAAGCAGCCCTTTACCAGACTTTTTCCACATGGGAGTCACAGTGAAGTTGTGCCCATTTCTGTATCTGATGCACTATAGCAGGGAAGGGGGAGTGGGTGTTGCCAAACACCGGTAATAATACAAGGTTTGGACCTTCTGTCTTTCAGAAAAAGCCAGCAATATGACTGCAAATGGTACATCCCGCTCACTGACCTTAGTTTCCAAATGGTGGATGAGTCTGAGGCAGTGCCCAATATTCCACTGGTACCTGATGAGGAACTGGATGCCATGAAGATCAAGATATCCCAGATCAAGAATGACATCCAACGTGAAAAGGTAAGAGGGGTTGAGCACTCCATGTCAAGTATAGACTCAGTGTCTCTGCTGAGATGAGGTGCTAATAGAAGCAGCATTCCCAGAGCTGCACAGCATGGGGAGTCATGCTAAAACAGACTGTTCAGCAGAGGCTTGTGGTGCCAGCTCTGTTATCAGTGATGTCCAGACGCTCTGCAGCCCATCGTTGCTTGTCCTAGTGCACAGCTTGAATGATGGTGTCCTATGAGGAGGCAGAAACAAAAAAGCCCTGTAGTTGTACCCAGTAGCTCCTCTTGTTGCATGAAACAGCCAGTGACTGCTATCCCTGAGCACTCATGTGGAGGGTGGGCTCTTACGCTGTGGACATGAGAAGGACTGGGAGCGTGGCATGGCAACTTCTGGCTGTTAAAGTATGATCTTGCAAGTGATTTTGGTCAGAAGCCATGTACTTCTGAATTTTTGAAGGCTCAGTTATGCTTTTGAAGCTTTTTCTGACTTCACCAGTGTCAAAGCATCAGCAAATATATGGAGAACACCAATTATGCTGACTGTGGACAATCTGGCACAGATATGTCTCTGGTCAGTGTCTCTTGCCCAGGCTTCTCTTTGCTTGCAAGACATGTTTTCTCAGAGGTGTTAGACTCCATACCTTCCTGGAACCCAAAAGAGAAATAAGAGTTTGAAAACTGAAAGCCTACTGGTGTGCAGAACAGGATATGAATAACATTACTTGTACCGTGAGAAGACTATCCGCTCCGCTTCTAAAGAACATGCTTCTGCCTCTGCCCTGGCTGGCTTTCATAGAGAGATTCCTGGAAAAAGTAAGGTATTAGGAAGAACGCCATGTGGAAGCCTCTTACTCATAAGGTGCAGGTGTCTAAGATATATGCGTCGGTGCATCAGTGCCAAACAAGACACATGGCTGGGTTTGGGACTGGGTTTTATCCAAGAAAAACCTTGGTTTTAGCTGACCTCTGTTGAAAGTGGATTGGTGGGTGGCAAGTGGGAGAGAATTTTGGCAATCAAGTTCTGGGCAGCTTCTAGAGAAGTTCCTTATAGTCTCCTCAGTTAAGGATGCTTGTGGAGGACCTGGCAGTGCTATGGCTGCCCAGTGACATGATGCTGCTGCTGCAGTGTCTAGAACAGAAAGTACAGGGTATAGCTGGGTCAGTGGCCACGCACCTCTGCACCTTTGGCTGGGGCAGCTAGAATTGGGGAACAGAGCCAAGTCTGAGTGTAGAGATACTGCAGGTAACATCTTCCTGAGCAGCCGGGAGCCCTGTGGATCTGGGGCTCCTGCCTGGGGCCATTTGGCTACTCACAGAGGGAAGGGAACTGTGGATGTTAAAATGTCTGTCAGTGTAAATGCGGGCAGATGTTGGAGAATGATGTGTGTCCTCTGTCTCCCTCTCTCCCCCACCCTTCAGAAGGCCAATAAAGGCAGCAAGGTCATTGAGAGGTTGAAAAAGAAGCTCTCGGAGCAGGAATCCCTCCTACTGCTGATGTCTCCCAACATGGCCTTCCGGGTACACAACCGCAACGGCAAGGTGAGTGGCTCTTCTGGTCTCCCTCGGTGTACAAGACAGAGGTCAAGGGGTGGGTGGGGGTGTTTGCATACACTGTCGTACAAGGAGGTTGTCATGCCCTTTACTATCTGGCCTGAAAGCACTTTCCAAGGAGCAGACACCTAACCCTTGCTACGCCAAAGGTTATGATGACATCTCTTAAGGCTATGACTAATTTGTATGCAACATTGGCATTTAAAAAATGACGTTAGAAATTAATCTCCTACCTCAGCACCTGCCCTGGCAGAGCAATAGCTGGTCACTGCTTCCTCAGCTTTTATCAGTGTCTAGACCTGTGCTGGAGGCTTTTGGATTTCCTTGTGAGGAATAGCACAGAGCTGCCATGGGACCTCATGGGACCAAGGACGCAGCTGCGATTTGCAGGGTGGAGCTCTGTGAAAGCTCTGACTGCAGGAGTCTGTGTGGGTACCGCTGGCACACTGCTGAGAAGGCACGCTGCTAGAGTCCTGCCTCTCACTGACAAAGCTGTGATGCAGGGCAACTGGCAGGCATACTAGAAGGACAGTATATCTAACAGTTTCCACTGGAGGAGGGTGGGAGGCAGGCAGGCCCACTCTCAGTGGTCGGTCAGACTAATGCATACCCCGTTTTCTTCTGTTTTCCTGGGTAGAGTTACAGTGGGAGGCAGGCAGGCCCACTCTCAGTGGCCGGTCAGACTAATGCATACCCCATTTCTTCTGTTTTCCTGGGTAGAGTTACACGTTCCTCATTTCATCGGACTATGAAAGGGCAGAGTGGAGGGAGAACATCCGGGAGCAGCAGAAGAAATGTGAGTGTCCCTCAGCTGGGCATTGGTACAAATACTGTGATCTTATTAGAAAGCAGGAATCCAGAGGATGAGGTGTGGGGCAGGGCTCCCTGCAACAAGAGATACGTGTGTTGAAATCCACAGGACAACATGGATGTCTTCTGCCTCTGCACATCTGAGCCTGCCTGAGGGACTTCTGCTTGCAGCAACATGCAGGGAATGTGTAGGGAGAGCACTTAGTAAGTGTGTGGAGAGATTCTCCCACCCTAGAGATCAGAGCTCTGTGCAGTTCCAGATAGAGGGAACAGCTGCACCCTTTTACCTGGCTCCAGTCCAAAGACAGTTATTTACTTTTTTGGCATGGGTGTTTTTTGGCCTTGCAAGAAAAGAAGAGTCTTCCTTGTTTCCTGTGAACCATCCTGAGACTTTTTACTCCAAAGAGTAACTAAATATGCCCTCAATAGAGCTGGGCTGCAGCAGCAGTAGAGACCTGAGTACCATGGTACTGTTGCTGAGCGTTGCCCAGGGAGCAGCTATCCCATGTATGCCCAGAATGAGGGAGCATGCATCCAGCCTCTGCTTTGAATTTTAATTCCTCCCACTTTGAATCTCCTTGGCAGGCTTTAAAAGCTTCTCACTCACGTCGGTGGAGCTCCAGATGCTGACAAACTCCTGTGTGAAGCTTCAGACAGTCCACAACATTCCCCTCACTATCAATAAGGAAGGTGAGACCTTTGGTTTCTGCTTTCACATGATACAGCTACAGTGAAAACCTACCTCTGCCTCTCTTTGTGCATTTCCCTTAGAACTGCTCTTACTGTTTCTTTTTGCCACAGGCTTCAACCTGGTGATGAGTAACAAGTAAGGAACTCAAGAGTTCCTCTAAAACAAAAGCTGAGACCATATGTACGCAACTTGTGTGGTTTAGTCGAAGTAGATGATAGCGTACAAGAGAGCATCTGTCATCCCAATGTTACTTGTTGCAACAATAAAAACAGAAGCTGCAAATTACACAACTACATCTAAATTAGTAAAATATTCCTGAACATCCTCCAATATATATTCATTGACTATTAAATGGTCCTTACATGCAGCTATCATGCCAGTGATTGGAGTGCCTGTTGGAGTCCTAGCCTGGGACAACTTTGAACTATGCCTGGGAATCCTTTGAAGGAACACCAGTTGGCCAAAATTGTGTCAGATACCATCCTAAATTACTGTTTAATCTGCTAGTATAGACTTAGCCTTGGTATTTTACTTTTTCTCCTCTGAATTTCTGCCATGCTGTCTTGCATGAAATGCCATTGTAAAAGCCACACATTGCCAGAAGGCATTACAGGTGAAACCGACACTGAACCTGGAGCAGTCTCGTCTTTTGCTGAAATGGCTAAATTGCATGCTCCTGCCATTCTTTTAGGGACAGTTTACCCTCTGTTCGTGAACCTGTGTAATATCAGTCTCATCACTCTGTGTTTCACTCTTGGCTCCTCCGTGAACGTAACAAAATTCCTTGGGTCTTTTGTACAGATGATGAATCCCCAGGTCTCTATGGATTCCTGAATGTCATTGTCCACTCTGCCACAGGATTCAAGCAAAGTTCAAGTGAGTTGCAGTTCTATAATACACAGAGGTATTGATAGCGGTGATATTGATTCAGGTGCTGTGACAGCTGGGCATGGACTTGGTTTAGGATCACAGCATCTGGGATGATGGTCAGGAGGAGAGGTGAGTTGGGAAACTGGAATTGAAATCAGGGCATTGGTGTAAATTTACAGGAATGCAATTTTTTAGTGCTACTATTAACTTGAGGAAAGATCAGGATCGAGGATCAAGCATGCAGCATCATTTTTTAGGCCCAGTCTGTTGGTATTTTTTTAAGCAGTGCTTGCGAATTACCCAACAGTTTTAGATACAACCCAGCCCTTGCCCTGAATTCTTTCTTCTGTATTTTGTTTTGCAATGAAAGAATGGGAACTATTCTCTGACATCCGGAATTTTTGGTGTGAAGAAAGAGGTGTTAAAATTCAGGGGAGAGATTTGACAGAAGGATCAAAAAAGGTGAAAAAATAGAGTGAAGAGGACACCTGTATAAACAAACATGCTTCTTGGCCATTGATAAGGATAATCTAGGAAAAGCTGCAAAGCTTACCTAGCCATGTGGCTGAGGGTCCTGCTCTTATCTAAGCTGCGTGTGCAGCCTCAAGAGGAAAGGAGTGAACGGGATATACATGCTTTTTCTGTTAGCCTTCCTCCTCCTGAACCACTGACTTCCCAGATGCTGGCTAACATCACTTACGGCATAACTTACAAATAGGGGCAATGTCTGCAGCTCATTACTAGCTCTTCAAAAACACCAGATACCATGTAGTTAACCACTTCGTGAAGATAATGAGTTTTTGATGGCTGGCCCCTAACCTACTCTGTGAGGGATATTATGCTGATGCTGTTCTCAGTGAAATCAGTTCTGCTGTGTTGACAGGGTCCAATATCTACCTGGGGAAGTTTAATTTCTCATTGGTGTACACCTTCTGCTCATTGTGGATTGATTTGAGAAATATAGGATAATAGCATACACCTGATTCTTGAGAGAGGTGAAGGGCTTGCCTGTGCTGAGGTAATTTATATAGCTGTGCTGGTACTTCACCTTTGTAAAGGCAACTCTGCTGATCCAAATGATGAGATTTGTGCTGCATAGTGCTACTGGTACTAATACAAAGAAGATGCAAATGGAGACACACCCTAAAAGTGTTTAATGCAAGTTAGGAGATTTGAGAAATTTTTAAAAAGTTTCTGTCCCTGTTTCCCCTCCTCAGATTTGTACTGCACATTAGAGGTGGATTCTTTTGGGTATTTCGTGAACAAGGCTAAAACTAGAGTTTACAGAGACACCACGGAGCCCAACTGGAATGAGGTAGGTGGGATTTTTGTTAATGTGACTTGCTCCATGTGCCAAACATCAACACACAATGGACAGAAAACTCACAAATGGAAGAATTTGCTGCAAGCTCAGCGCTTGTGCTGCATATGCTGCCTCTCGGAAAACACTTTTATGCCAGGTTCATTTGGCTGTCAGGGCTTGCTGAAGATTTTCTCTTGGATTAGCTATAGTTAAACAAACTTTTCAGTACAAATGAGTCTTGTCCAGCATTTCATCATTTAAACAGATGAAAGTTTGATTATTTTTTTAAAGACACAAGTGAAAATATGTTGAAGAAGAAGGTGGTTTTGTTTATCTGTTGTGAGGGAGAGAAATTAGCTACAGACATTTTGCCAGTTTACAGCCAACTCAAACCTGCTGGGGAGCAAAATGAAATACAAGGAAGGTGGATGAATTTGTTTCTTTGGATGATGCTTTGCTGAAACTTGGTGAAACCTGACTAAGGAGTCAACCATCTTAGTTTCTGATTTGACCACCTTACATATATAAAATACAATTTCAGTTTATTTCTAGACCAGCTCCGTTAGGGAGGAAGTTTTGGTCGGTCCTTAAGTGCTCCCTCCTGATGAGTTTTAAGGAGACTGTATTGATTATTAAAAGATTAGTGTCCTGCTGTGGTGTGTTCATTGCTCTTTCCTTTCCTGCTGCCCTGCAGGAGTTTGAGATTGAGCTGGAGGGCTCACAAACTCTGCGGATTTTGTGCTATGAAAAGTGCTACAACAAAACCAAGCTCACCAAAGAGGATGGAGAGAGCACAGACCGCATAATGGGCAAAGGACAGATCCAGGTAAGACGGTGCTTAACTCATGCCTGCTACCCTTAGTGCAAAACATAACAGGACTTTTGATTCCTGGAGTGCACCAGGGAATTTTTTTTCTGCCTTCTGATTGTCTCAGCATTGGAGATTTTTCTCCAGATAGTGAGGTATACAGGGTGATTCACAGGCGGGAAGTCGACAGCTTTTTCCCCTCTTGCCTTGTCCCCTATGCCTACTTCAGTACCCTTATGGAATAGATGCTTTTTCCTAAAAATTTATGTTTTGATCTCTGATTTATCTGTTAACTTCAAAACTTCCAACACAGTGTATAGGAGCTGCATTGTCACTGAGCCCTGGGCACTGCTGAGCATGCTTCATTTGTGACAAAAGAGGAAGCAGTGAATATGCTATCCCTTCTGTAAATCATGTGGAAGAAATGCTACCTTCTTTATGTGCTGGGAGTTGATTAATGTGATAGCAAGGCCTTGGAGGACAGGCTTATTGTCCTGATAACTGCCGTGTCCAGAGTATAGTGTCCATGACAGCAGGCTGCATCTGAGAGAGATTTCCACCGCTGAGAATCAGCATGGGACACTTTATCTATGTGACAAATTTCTAATACAATAGGGGAGGTGATGAGATGATTGCAAAGGGGTGCTGCTCTTGGGGAGCTGCTGTGTGATAAAGCACTAAAGATCCTTGCAGGAGAAATTGGACCATCAGTGGAAGATGACATGGAGAACATATGTTCTCCATCTTCTTCTAGTTTGTTGCACTGTCTGCCCACAGCTTTAGGAGGGTGTTTAAACATTTGCTCTGAGGATACGTTGTTTGTGTTGTACTGGCTGTTGTACAGAGCAGAGACCCTGCCCAGATACCTTTTTCTTTCTGGCATGCTGAAAAATACCACCAGTTCTTCTCCATTTATGTTTGACTCTTCATCACTCCATGGATGGCAGCTTTCTCCAACATTTGAGTGATGGTCACACAGGCCGAGGCCATTTGTGGGATTTCAGAAACAGCTCTGAGAGTGGCCTGCAGGATCATATCTCTAGAATGAGTTTCATTAGGCCTATTCCTTTCCCACCCTCCTTGCAGCCCTGAGGCTGCCATGCTGTTTTCAGGGAAAGCCTTTATCGCCAAACACTTTTGATTAACATGCAAAAGTTGCATTCTGTTGTATCATAAAAAGCAAATGCAAAAGATCTCTTATTTTCAGTAAATCCCCCTTGCAATTTATGAAGAAACTTGGTGAACTCCCAGAACATAATTCTCTGTGATTTCTGTCCCATCACACAATTTCTTAACACTATTGAACTGCAAAGAGAAGTTGTAAGAGAGTCTGGTAAGATTTTGGGTTAATAAGAATTATTAAAGGTCTTTATTTTGGTTTAGTTTTATCTTTAAAGCAAACACCATTTCTCTATTAAGAAATCATAATAATGCAGCAACAAAATCAAATTACAACCCGTACCTGGAGGTTAGATGTATTAGTGCTGTCAGCATCTTTTCCAATCACTAGTTTTATAGTCATTTTCTTTCAGGATTTTCCCAGGAGATTTTACGTTGAATTCTGTTTACTTTAGAGTTGCTAGAGTACCTAGGGCTTTCTGTTTTGTTGTTGTTGCATTGTCATTATTCAGCCAAAGTCTGTCTTGTGTAAAGGCAAGGTTTGTGAAGTTGGATGAATTTTGTTTTTTTTTTTTCTAAATTCCATTTAGTTAAAAACTCTGGGAAGATCAAGAATCGTGTCTGCATCCTCCTGCTGATAAAAACAGGGAGATTTCTGTGTTGGCTAAATCGCAATGTATTGTTAAGCCATGTATTATTGTAAGTCTGCAACTTCCCACTACTGGGATTTCTGACTCACCAAATTCTCTGAGCTGCAGTGATGAAGACAATGTATCAAGGAGACGAGGACTGTTTTGGCTGTGAAATGTTTATTAAATCTCTCCGTTACATAATGGCGCTGGAGGAAGGAAGACTGGAAATTGGTCCATGTAGTCACAAGCTTCCAAGAATGGGCAGCAGTTTTTATAGCTCCCATTGCTCATATTTTCTTTTCCTATGGAATATTTTATTTACCTGTTTTTATAGCCACATGCAAGAGTTTTGTTGCTTGCCAACTTGAAAGTTTTATCCCTGAAAAATAAAACCACAAGGTTTTAATATGGGAGAACCTCCTGTAAGTGTAGAAGTGAAGTCCTCATCGGAGTTTCTGGGAATGGCAGCACTGGATGTGCAGTGTTTAACTAGCTGGCACACATGGTTGGGGGCTTCTATTACATCTCAGGCAAGAGAAGTACAGGGAGAAGGTGCCTTTCCTGGGTACACTGTGAAACTGAAATTATTGGGGGGCTTGGGGGAGGCAGAAATGGACATCATCATACAGGAGGAAACACGAGGCTTAGTTCAGTTGTAAGCATCAGCTCCCATCAGCTCCTCTCATTTTGAACTCTCCCCCCCGCCCCCTTCTGTTGTTACCTTGCAGTCCATCTTTGGCACTTGGGATGCTAACCCTTTTGCTCTTTGAATTTTGCACTTCATGTGGCAGGCGCATCCACGTTTTTGAGTGCAGCAGCCTTTTGTTTGGTCCTCAGACTCTGCATCTAAGTGGGCACATATGTTGGCAAAACTGGCTTCTGCCTTGGGAACAGATTGCATGAGTAAACTGATATTTCATCCTGTGATCCATCTCCTCCAGTTCATGCTTCCTAGAAATGCTGTTTCCTTTGGGTTTTTTTCTGTTTCTTTCTGCATGATCAGCTCAGGCAAACCATTTCCTTCTCCCTCACAGCAGTGCTGGAAAATCAGAGAGGATATGACCTTAGATCAGTCATTCTGTGGTAGCGGCACAACACGATTCCTCTGTTGCCATGCAAAACACTCTTATCTGCTTAATTATCTGAGATGTCTCATAGCAGTGCACATGGCTATTTCAGACATCTAGGTTGTTTTCCATGTAAAACAGATTGTCACATGCTGTACCTCCCAAGTGTCAACTCAGAAAACCTTTTACACACTCGAGTTCATTTAAACGGTTTGCTCATGCGGAACAGTATCCCAGCAATGAAAACAGGGTGGAAATGAAGAAGGCAATGGGTCATGTCTAAAGGGTGATGTTGGGAAAGATTAACATGTCAGTGGGGAGCTTTGAGAAGAACGGGGTTATGGCTGGACTGGGAGTTTCCAGCAGCAGTGAGACTCTGACAACATGTACGTCACATCAGTTACAATTAAAAACTGATGGAGTGTGAAGGTGCCAGGGAGATTTAATAAAGGGAGGAAGTAATGTCAATAAATAGCATAAAATACACTAACCTTAAGGTTGCCTCAGTCTTTGCTCCCAGGCATTTCATTTCCACTGATGCTTCTTCGTTTTTTCCTCTTTCTGCATGTTTTATTTTCTCTCCTGGGGTAAAAAAAAAAATAATCATCAAACTCTTTGTGGTGGTTTCCTAAGGCAGAACACAGACACCCTTCTTCTTAATGCCTGGCTTGCATTTGCCATTGACCAGCATCCTCAGTTTGCCTTTTTCCTAGGTCCTCACCACTTGGTGTTCTACGCACTCAGCCTCTACTGACTGCTATACACTAATTTTCTGTCTTAATTCAGTGCTAAGCTGCTGCGAGGGCCAGAGGCTTGCGTTCGGAAATCCCTGTGGTGCTGAGCTGCTTTGTTCTATTGTGTTTTGTGCAGCATACAGAGGGGCATTTGCTTGATTCATTATTGAATTTGGGGCTGTAGCTTGCCACTGCAAATGCCAAAGAATAGGCCACAAGGGGATGGGAGTTGCTGGGGGAGTAGACAAACTGGTTGGTTTGTATTTTTCCTGTGCAGTATGCACTTTTGCTGGGGACTGTGCAAACAAGCCCGTGAGATACAGTTTTTGAGGGTTTTAGCAGGTCTGTCCTATTTGCATAGGTCATGGAAACAACACAATTTTTCATAGTTTCAGTGGAGATGGCACAGGTCCTTTTGTCACTCAAACCAAGCAGTTGTTTGAAGGAAATGTTTAGAGGTGCAGTAAATTTCACTGTCAATTTAATGCAAAGGTAGCCATTTCACAGTGCCTCCCCTGCTTGAGCTGGCAAGGCAGACACTATGTGCTTGCTCGCTCGGAGCTGCCTCCTTTTGGCACTCTGTCTGTAGATTGCGTGTTCCTTCTTCCAGGTCATTGATCTCCAAATCAGGCCAGAAGACAGCACGACCCCATTTGTCACAGGCCCTCTCTGTGCTGGAGCATCACACTCACTCACTCTCTCTGTCTTCAGTTGGCTTTGTAACCTATCTGCTTGAGCTGCCCTTTCCCTGCATTGCTCTTGCTGGCCTTAGAAGGTCAGTCATCTGTAGGGTCCAGGACTGAGAGCCTGCGCAAAGTCTAAATGATGTTCTTAGTTTCCCGTTGACTTTGCTATTTCCTACTTTTTCAGACTGTTAGACCTGATCTTCCTGTCTCGTTCAGTGTTGCTCAGAGCTTATTCAAGCTTTGCTCTTTTGTTAGCTTCTATCATTTCACTTTGTTATTTATAAACCACCTGGGGGGGGATTTTTTTTTTCTATTTTTTTTAATTGCTGTTGTTATTGCCAGTGATTTATGCAGGGTTGGCTCAGGTAAGCCAGACCCGCTCCCTGGTGCTTGTTCTCCCTCGCTGTCTCCATTCCATACAAGCTTTTCTCCAAACAGCAGGTGGGGAGTGTGGGGGTCCTGCCAGCCCTGCAACCGAGGTCAGAGATAAGGGAGCAAGAGGTAGCAGCAGGTACACTCGCAGTCCTTGCTCAGCTCCAGTAGTTACCCAGCGAGGAAGAGTCTCTGTGAGCTCTTAGCTCCAGCACACTGCTTTTGCTAGTCTTTGGCAGCCATGTGATATTCACTTTTGAGACAGAGTAGGACTTCGTTTGGCTTGTACTTTTTAACAGCTATTTACTTGCTTTGGTTTTGTACAGTGGTAGGAGTTCCCTGGTCATCACCGAGACATAACCAGTAATACCTGTTAGCTTAAATAAACTGTAACTGGACCCTGCTGGACTCTTCCTTTAATGTTTTTGGCAAGTACTCAAAACCCTCTTTCCTTTTCAGTCTTAAGCAATCTCTCCCTGCTATAAATAATATACTCTCAGTGACTCCATTCTAAAAGCATATGGAAAACTGCTTCCGAGCTGGAGCATAGGCTGTGACTCTGTCTATCAGCAGGGCCATTTTGGCAGCTTAACGAGATGACTATTTAGGCAGCTGGAGATCAAGCTTTCAGGAATACTAAGCATGTTTGCACTTCATAGGAAACCAGACACTTCAGAAATGGTTTCCTCTTGATTCTGGGAAAGAATGCAGTTGTTGAAAGAAACCAAACTTCCAGCACGGAAATTCAGGGAAGAACAGCTTAGATTCTGGCCAACTTGTAGGGACCTTGGCCAGCCGCACAGGCAGGGGCGGATCTGTCCCACCAGAGTTATAAGTAAACCCTCTTGGCAGCAGTCTGTTATTTGGGTTTGCTGAAGCACTGAAACTAAGCGCTGCTGCCCATTGGCCTCCTGGACCTTTGTGCAGTCCCAAAATGTGGGAGCTACTGGTTACTGACTATTCCTTACAAGAGGTCTTCAGGAATTTCTGCCAGAGTTGCACCTACAGGAACCGGTCCAATTCGACAGGAAAGCATGTGTGTGCTGGCAGCACCCCGCTGTGGGCTCACGTCCGTAACAAAGTGCGCAGAGATAAGGTTGGCCTGGCTTGCTTGTGTGTTGCTTCTTGGGGTCTCTGCAGGGTGAGCAATCAGGGAGAAACTTTTCTCTCTGCTGGTTGTCTTTTTTTGGGGCATGGGGAAGGGTGTGGGGGGACTTGTCACTGTAGCTGTCAGCGGCATTGGGCTAGTTTGATGATCTGAAAGAGGGCATGAGCATGACTGCATCTAAGATCTCCCAGAATATACTGCAGCTGCCATTGTTTCAACATTTACCTCTGCCTGTCGGAGAACTCTGCTTTTGCATGGGGTTCTGTGAGAGGGAGGAGCTGTGCTGCAGAAGTAGCTCTAGTTACCGAATGTCTTTTTGTTTGCTAACGACAGTAAACTCAAGACAGTCTGCTGCATTTGCCTCCCTCTGGTCTTACCGTGTTTCAGCGTTCGAGAGCCAAGTGTTACAAAGCCGTCTCAGGAGGCACCTTGTTTTGCAGTCTGCTTGCTTTGGCTGGTTCCAATTGCTGATAGAAGTCCCCATGCAGACAGCTCTTTTCTCTCTTTTGCCGGTCTAACTTGAGCTGAGTGCCCACTCTTCAGGTGTTCAGATATGTTTGGGCTCTCCCAGGCAGTACTGGACTTGCTGGGTGATGTTGAGGATTTGAGCCAGCTGCTCCCCAGCCTGACAACTGCCCACTTAAAAGAGATCAGGCAAAGCTGAAAATGAGAGATCAGGGCTTCGCATCAGAACTTATTTCTGTTTAATGAATTCTTGCAATAGCAGGGCCAGGTGTTCTTCCTGTGTCTGTGCTCAAATAGAAATGAAAAGGAATAGGCAGGCTGAAGGAGCACAACTTACCATGATTTCTGGGCTGATTTTTCTCCTTTTCTCCTCTGTCAGATCCTGACAGAGGTTTGGTTTGTTTAAAGTGACTTGTCTCTGTACAGATCACTCTTCTCTTCCTTGATCTTGCTATTAGGGTCATTATGTCTTTTGAATTCAGTGGAACATAGCCCTTCTTGGAAGCTATTTGCTTCATAGCCAAGAGCTATGAAGTTCTCCAGCCTGAGTTTTTATTTCAGGGCAGTAATTTCACACTCATCCAACCTCACCCGTCTCTAGAAAACTGCAGAGGGAGATAGTTCCCTCTATTTCAAATCAGAGTTATTTCAGAAATCTCTTCTCCCCTTCTCTGACTCCTAGCCCTGGGGGATGGGACAATTTGGCTGGCTGTTAATCTGCCTCTTGCGCTACAGCAATGAATGCAGTCTCTCTTTTGATGAAAGCTGAGGTTATTGGCTTTCAAACATTGATTTTGCTCGCTGAGGCATTGATTTGCCTTTGTTGTTGAGCAAACACTGCGTGCGTGTTGCTGGATTTTCCATGTGTATGAGTCCACATCAGCCCTGCTTAGAGAACCACACAGTATCTGAATATCCTGTTACCTGAACCCAAGGAAACCTTGGAATGTGTGTTTTCCTATGGAAAAGAAATAACCTGCTGAAAGTGGTAGTGCTCTGCTCACTTACAGAAGCCTTTCAGGCTACCTGATTTCTCTGTTCCTAGCTCATGGGTAACTTCTGTGTTTTTCAGCTGGACCCACAGGCATTGCAGGACAAAGATTGGCAACGCACAGTCATCTCAATGAATGGAGTAAGTACAGAAAACAGAAGTTGGAACTCCTCCTGTACCTCTCATGCTTTATTTCTTTGTTCTTCGTTGTGACATAGAGAAAAAAAAAAAGAAAAGAAAATGTTTGAAAAGTAATAGCTGTTCTCTTTTATTCAGGTTGAAGTGAAGCTGTCGGTGAAGTTTACCAGTCGGGAATTTAGTCTGAAAAGGATGCCGTCCCGAAAACAGACTGGGGTTTTTGGGGTCAAGATCGCTATTGTCACCAAGTGAGCTGATGGGTCACGTTTTCTCCCTGTTGTTTTGTAGAAAGCCAGCTGGCCAGTGGGTTGCACCTGTCTTTACCCCACTGAGGCATTTGTCAGTCCAGTCTGCTCCACTTGGGTAGTAGTGTAGATGGCTGTGGCTGCAGAAAGGAGATGCTGTACATTCTCTGAGCTTCATTTTTTGCAGGGGAAAAAAAAAAAAAAAAGAGTGTGCATGCAGGCTTTGAAACCCGGGGTGTTTACTTACAGCATATCATTTTTCTCAGTTCCGGAAATACCCCTTGCCCCTTTACTCTGTAGTTAGCTGACTTGGTCACAAATTTCCAGGGCCACTGAACAGTGATGTTTCCTTTCCGTAATCGGAAATGTTCAAGTTCTTTGGATCCTGTTGTATTATTTTAACCCCTGATCTTTTGTCAAGAATCGTTTGCCAGAAGAAACCTGTTTGTTCTGTTATAAAGTTTGGGAAGTGTGGTATTTCCTCCCTATGGAATTGCATTAATTTGAAAGCAGCAGTGTTGCTATGTATCCAAGGAGTGTTTGGGAATCTGCTGATTACCTGTGCAGTCACAGACTCTAGGGGCACTGGGACCCAGCCAGAAGCTCAAGTGCTCAGGGCAGCAGGAGAACAGCCAAAGCCGGGCTGAGACAGTCAGAAAGCCCTCTCCAGTTTTAAAAGGAGTTTTTCAGCTCAGTCTCGATTGCCTGCTCAGACTTTCTCACGCCCCATTTTCCAGAAGATGTTTGCACAGCAAAATGATGGGGGGATTTTAGCCAGCCTGGCCGGCTAGGGTAACAAGCATTGAGGGCGCAGGCTGTACTGAACTCTTCTGTCTGGCTTTCTTAAGGAGAGAGAGATCGAAGGTGCCTTACATAGTACGCCAGTGTGTGGAGGAGATAGAGCGGCGTGGAATGGAGGAGGTGGGCATCTACCGTGTCTCTGGGGTTGCAACTGATATCCAAGCTTTGAAAGCTGCTTTTGATGTCAGTAAGTATTTGTGTCTGATGTTTTGCTTTGTTCTGTGAGAACGCGCGTGAGCTCCCTGTCAGGTGGCTATGCTGTTTTTAATCTTATGTTCGTCAAGAAGCATTAAGAGATAGAGATTCTAGCACAAGGAAAATAATTTTAACCCTGGCTGCCTGTTTTATTAGTATTCTTCAGCTAGATATAACCCAAGACATACAAGGGGATGGATCCTTATACCAAATAATGCATTTGTTATTCTTGCCAGCAGACATGAAATGGTGAGTTTGCCTGCCTTGCCAAATCTTTGTAAATGGCAGACACCTTCCTAAGGGAAGGTGGCAGTAATCAGAAGTCGTAATTTCTTCACTGTTGTGAGGTCTCCAAATTAATAGAAGTCCTTGAAATTAAGAATGTTTTGTGAAAGGAAGCTAGTAAAAGAAATGTTCTAAGGTTGAATAGGGAGGGTGTTTACCAAACTGGAGTTGGGTGGTCAAGGCTCCTGAGTTCTCTTCTTAACTCTGTCTAGATTGATGTGCGCAGATTGTAAAATTAGATCATTTTGATTTACCTTTGTAAAGCTTTCTTTGATCTTGAGCAGAAGAGGGCTCTTTACTGGTGCTGCGTTCAAAAGAATGGCATGTATGTCCCAAAAGGCATCCAAGTTCAGGCAGATGAAACACCTCTAAATTGCTGAGGTACAAAAAGTGAAATTCTGCCCTACTTCCAGCCTCCATATGATGGCCCAAGGACTGCTCAAGCCACAGTCGAGCTCCCATTTTAACGTGAGCAGTCATGAGGTCTGTGCCAGGTGCTCAAAATCACCCTTCCTGTGCTTTTTCTTCACTTATTTTGTGAAATTTCTTGCTTCCTGTGTTTTCTTTTCAATCCCCCTAAGCTACCAAAACCATTGACTTATGAATCTTCACTAGTGCAAGTAAGGGTGTTTCACAATTTGAAAAACAACTTTTTTCATTTATATCAAACGCTGTTTTACAGTAAGCTTCATGAAACCAGAGGTGGCTCTGCTGGTTGGTTTGGGTTTTTTAGGGAAAGGGGGTGGTTTTATTCTTCAAATTGAAATGTGAGCCCTGAATTGCCTGCGTACTTTAGCTACACTCAGTGGGGAGTTAGACAGCCTCAGAGTCTCTTATTCTAAGTTGTTAAAGACAGGGAATTGGAATAACAACTGTTGTCACTAACAAAAGTTGAAATGCCTATAAATACAGTCAAGCGGGGCTAGTTCCAGATCAGGCTGAGGTCGCTGGTGCAGCATAACTAACCCTGGGTAGCATGAGGTTCCCTCTACTTGATTTAAAGCTATAAACAGTTTGCAGTCATTTGTGCAACACTTCTCAGTTGTCAGAAGGTAGCTCATTTAATGTGGAGAACTGCAAACTGGAAAACTCTCAGCTATTTGGGCAAAGACAAAGGATACACAGAAGAGAGCCAAAGCAAGAAAAAGAATGAATGCGAGGCCAGCAGCTTCTTTACCCTACTTCCCCTCTTCCCTCTTTCAGATAACAAGGACGTGTCAGTGATGATGAGCGAGATGGATGTTAATGCCATTGCAGGCACCTTGAAACTGTACTTCCGGGAACTGCCTGAACCCCTCTTTACAGACGAACTGTACCCCAACTTTGCTGAGGGCATTGGTAGGTAGCACCACAAATAACCCTTGATAATTGAAACTCTTCTGTAGGAGGCGGCTCCTAAAGCAATACAAACCCCAGATTTCTAGTGTTGGACGGAAGCCTGGAACAAGCTGTTGGGGAAGTGAAATGGAGCTCAGAAATGAGCGTTGGAATGACATCATCTTCCTTTGAGCTTGAATATGGGGAATTGCCATGCATTTTTGTAAGCTGAAAATGCCCAGGTTTCTGAAGGACGGGTTAGGAATAGAATGACAGCCTCCTTGTTGAAGCTGTGCATGCTGTCTGCCCCGTTCAGTCTTCCAGGGAAGCCCTCTCAGGGAGCGGGAGGGTATACCTTGTCTTATCTTGATGCAGGGGGAAAACATCATAATGGTTGAAAGTCTGAAGGCACTTGAACTACTTGAGAGAAAGGGTTCACTACGCACCTATGAAATAAAGGAAAGTGATCTTGTTGAGGTATTGATGTGCAACTCTGACCTTCCAGTCCATGTAGGACCAGTAATTACCAGGATGTAATTCCAGTCCATTCAGGACCATCCATATTTGTTGGTTTGGGAAGTTATGCAGTCAGTCAAATTCTTGTTCACTGCCTATGGTGATGTTTTGTCATTTTCTGTCTTTGTAGCACTTTCAGATCCTGTTGCAAAGGAAAGCTGTATGTTGAATCTATTGTTATCGCTTCCGGAACCCAACCTTGTGACATTCCTTTTCCTTTTGGACCATTTAAAAAGGTAATATGTGGATCCTTTAGACACGTATTTAATGTGTAAAGCGTCATTATTTTGAAAAGAGGAGCCTTTTGCTTGAGTTTGTGCTGAATCACCCAAATGAAGAAGCATTTCCTGATTTGCTGTGAATGCTCATCAAATAACTGTTGTCTTGTACTCACTTAGTGAGGCACTAAATCCTCAGTTCCATTCCCACTCGTAGTGAAAGGCTTGGAACTGGAAGAAAGGGGTAACAAAAGTCTCAAGGCTTATCTAGTGCAAATGCAAATTCCTGCAAATGCAGTATCCCTGCAAAACTGCACCTGCATCTGGATACAAAGATCAGGAAAGGTTTTAGTATAAATCATGAAGCTTTGGCTGTGTTTAAGGACTTGTGAGCCCTGTCTCAAAAGGTGTCTGCAATCTAACATGAGGTATTTCTAAAAATTCCAGCACTTTTGCTAACTGGAGTTCTTAGTTGCTTGCTTACGCTAATCTTTCCAATCTTGACTATGTCTTTGTAATATGGTTGTAACTGTGAAAAAGCATTTCCATGCATTTGATACTAATGCAATAAGCTTGCTTAATATGTGCACAATGTGTTAATTTACATCTGTATTTTGTACGTACCAGACACTGTCACTGGAGAGATGAAAGATAATCTTGTGACTGAGGTCCTGGATTAAAATCCAGGAAATTGGGGTTTTACTTGTGTTTCTGCTGCAGACTTTTCTGCCCTTGGGTAAATTTTTTAACCTTTGTGCCTCAGTTTCTCACTTATAAAATGGGGATGAAAAACATTCCTTTATTCCTGCCCTAGTTCTGCCTGTCCAGACAGTAAGCTGCAGTCCCATCCCCAAGTTTAAGCTGTGTCTGTAGAGTGCCTGGAGATTGTGGTTGTGTCAGATCAAGGTATTTGCTTAGATAAAAAGTTCATTTAGGCACATACGAAGAACGTGGTTGAATATATCTAAAACTTTTTACAAAAGGAATAAATATGGTTTCTTACTTAAGGACACTTCCAAACTCAGATATTTATAAAGATCTGCCTTGTTCATTGTTTCTCCTCCCAGGGTTGCTGAGAGGGAAAGCGTTAACAAGATGTCCCTGCATAATCTTGCAACTGTCTTTGGACCAACGCTGCTCAGACCTTCAGAGAAGGACAGTAAAATCCCTGCAAACCCAACCCAGCCTATCACAATGACTGATAGCTGGTCACTAGAAGTCATGTCCCAGGTAAAATCCGAAATGTGCTATGGTACCTTGTGAAGACAATATCTGGGAAACCGCAGTCCTCTAGCAAGGCCTGGTTCAGCCACCCTCCTGGGTTTTCATGACAGTTTTGGGTTTTTTTTTAAAAATATAAACAACTTTCACCTTTACACAGACATTTTAGACTGTAGAACTGTGTTTCTTCAGGCAGTTTAGTTTGCATGTGTACTAATCCAGCTTTTCATGAAAAATGTCAGTGTGCACGCGTCCTGCGTGTTTTGTGTTTGTGCATAGTAAGATTTTATTTTTTTTAAGAGCTGTATCACAGTGCCATATTGCTAGCCTGAGATAAACGGTCATCAGTGTTTTTCTGCGATGCTCCTCAACACTTAAACCACCTTCACTGATGCACAACAAATTCTTTGCTAAATTCAAATTTCTTTAGTCACTGCTGCCTTTTGAAGGCGATGCAGAGAATTCAAACACAGAGGCTGTGTTTGGCTGGTCAGGCTGGTTTGTACATTCTTGATTGAGTAATGGCAAATTAGAAATCAGATTTTTTTCAGTGCTGTGGAACACCACCACCGCTGGTATTCCCTGGAAGCTGAAAAGAGTGTCTCTGAAGCACTGCAAGTTTGAATATTCC